TTCACTTCTCCAAATTTCTTTTCCTGATCATCACTCCTTATTACATAATGAGGCCATCTTATTCATTACATATTTAGATGTGAATTGTAAGCTTGTGCAGAAGTTGATCTTAATATATAAATTAATGCACAAAAGTGGGGGGGGGGGACAGAGAAAATTATGGAAGTATTCTTGCCAGCCTTGATCTTTGCCAGTTCACATAATGCCATCAGCACATAAAGATAATATGATTTCTAGAAATAAAAAATAATAATAAAGAAACCAATGAAGGCACATATGCAACAGTGCAGCTTGAATTGGTAAGCTTACAGGGAAAAATATTTATGCAGCAGAAAAAAATCAAAACAAATATGGCATGCAGATCAGGGGGTGTGCAGTTCCATCAGTTCATGTATTTAATGATATACTAAGAGGAACAAGTATTTTAAGTGGACATTAAATGTGATTTTTTAAAAAATAAATGTAAACCTATCTAGAATGGAGTGACATCTGTGGTAGCTCTGTAGAATGGCTGTAAAGAGTTTAGTTTTTGTAATAAAGGCAGCTTTACCTATCTGTAACATGTGACATTGAATCAATTTTAAAATTTTAATCTATTACATCTGGCCCTTCCATAGTGTTTTAAATCTTTTGTGTGTTACTCCTTATATGTTTAGCTATATTATTTATATTGTTTTATTGGCTTACTTGCTTTGTTGATGTACTATTATATTTGTATTTGACGGGCTTGGCCACATGTAAGCCGTCCTGAGTCCCTTCGGGGAGATGGTGGTGGGGTATTAAAAAAGTATTATTATTATTGTTATTATTATTGATTCAGGGCTTCATAAGGTAAGGTGCTTCCTGAAGAAATGAATGCATGAGTTTAGAGGGAGCATACTTTTTGTTCTTTTAAGTGTCAGGTTAAGGAGAACAAAAGCAGTGCAAGAATCAGGTGGAATGACAAAATATTTGTTAAAACTGAAACCTTGAGTGAAAATTAGTTGAAACAACGGATAGTGCTTCCTTTGATATTGATGTTGTGTTTCACAGGTTCACCACTAGTAGGAGATACCGTGCAATTACTGCCTTCATTGGACAAGGGAAAAATAATGAAAAGAAGAATAGATATATCTTTTTTAAAATCTGTAACATAACAAGAGCTTAACATTAAGCATGGGTAAACAAGTTCAAGTATATAGACCTGTGGTGTGCAACATAAACACAGTCAGAGGAAGAACAGACTTTCCCCATCCCATATTCTACCTGGCACTGAATGAATAAATATATAAAGCCAATTTAACAAAGCAGATCATACATTTTAACCTCATGGCATGGTAGGGAAAAAAACCTCAAGTCAATGAGAAATCTTCCCCACTGGTAAACACAATAGTAGACATCCGATTCAATAGACATTTATCAGCTGTGAAGCCTGATAGAGATAAATGAGAAAGCTGTTCAGCCCCAGCCTTCCTCTGCCTGCTGCAGTCTGCCAGATAAAGTGGGAACAAAAGCTCCCTGCTGAATGCCCCACCAGTCTCCATTAGCTCCTGCTGATGCTTTATTATCTGAGGGCTATGCAACAGTGTAGCTTGAATTGGTAAGCTTACAGGGAAAACAATCTTTATGGAGAAGGAAAAAATCAAAACAAAATCTATCTGTGAAAAACAAAAAATCATTTTTCTTTTTATCTATTAATGCATGCTAAAAAGCAAAAAAAATATTGTGTAGTTGTGAAAACCTTTATGACATTATGTCATGAAATAAAGTTTACAACACTGCAACTTATTTTACACATTATGCACACAATCATATAAACTAGCACTACCATTAGGCAGATATTAATAAACATGTTGAATGGTGCTGAGTGATGCAAGGAGAAACTGACTGTTCTCTTTCCAGTAATTTGATGCTGTGTCTGATTTTTATTCCATGGTTCAGATCCAGACCAAGAGTGAGCATCAGGAGTGAATGCGACGTCGTTCCACCCTGCTTGTTTAGGTAGTACATAGCCATGGTGTTGTCTTAAAGGCTCTGTACCGTTGAATCCAAGATGATAAGTACTTCAGAGCCTTGAAGACTACAAGAAGCTCAATGTAATTGTTGTTGATCAAGCACAGAGGAAGTTGTGTAGGCAGTTTCTGAACAGAGAGGAATTTCCAACAAGAACCCGCAGGCAACAACCATCATCATCATCATCATCATCATCATCATCATCATCATCATATTTAATAACTTATTAATCGCCCTCCATCTGAGAATGCTCTAGGTGATTTACAGCTAAATTGTAAAAGATAAAATACATACATACAGAATTTTAAAATTAACAGAGATCGAATGCTCTAGTAAAAAGCCAGGTCTTAAGTGCTAGAGTAAAAGGCCCTAAGTCACGCATGGCTCTCATATAGGGCGGCAAGGAATTCCATAAGGCAGAGGCAGAAATAGAAAAAGCCCTGCGTCTGGTACTTTCCAAGTGCACTTCTCTAGGACCCGGTATATAGAGTAAGTCGCGTTGTCCTGGTCTTTGCGGCCATTCAGGCTTTGAAGCTGCAGGGCCATTAAATGCTAATCAAGGTGGCCATTTGCAACAGTCACACTTGCCTCAAGCAGACAAGAGTTCTTCTACCCTGGACATTCCACAGATATATAAACTCACTTGCCTAGTTTCCAAATGACCCCTCAACCTCTGAGGATGCCTGCCATAGATGTGGGCAAAAAGTCAGGAGAAAATGCTTCTGGAACATGGCCATACAGCTGGAAAACTCACAGCAACCCACAAAGCTTGTCATTGATTATTTTGAATATTTTGAAATAAGTACAGCATTTTGGGTAAAATGTTCATTTTAATTGCTGCTATTCTTAAGAGTGATAAGTTACATTTACTCCATTTTTGAAGATCCATTTTTATTTCTTTCCATGCCTTTTCATCGTTATCTTGGAAGAGATTTGTGTTCTTTATTGATACGGTTATCTCAAAGTATTTTATCTTCATTATTTGTAGACCAGACATTTTTTGTAATTTTCTTTCTGTCAAATTTTTAGATAAGATTTTTAGTTTTTTCTTATTTATTTTAAGTCTTGCTACTTCTTCCAATGTAGCCAATACTTCTCTGATATTTTCTACTGGATCTTCAACACTTATTAGTATTAACCAGGATGACAGACAAGGTGGCCTAACATTACCAGACCCGAAAATATATTTCTCAGCATGTGTTTTAGTCTGGCTGAAAGACTGGTTGACATTAAACAATGAGAGAATTCTAAAACTGGAAAGACATGACTTGAGATTTGGTTGGTAAGTATATCTATCATATGGGGAAAAATACATGTAGGATTCAGAAATCAAATTACCAGATGAGTAATTCTGAAATAAATATAAATTCAAGCCAAATCTCAAAACTGCATTTTCAGTATCACCTGAAGAAGCATTTTATAGATTGGATAAAATAAAGGAAGAAAAATGGCTGACATATAGAGATATAATATAGAAAGAAGATTAATGTTTGTTTAAATCACAAGAAGTTTTAGGTGATCTGACTGCCTATTACAGGGAAAACCAGCTGATTCCTAATCCATCTAAAACCTAAATGTTTGCTTTTTACTTTAAGAACAGACAAGCATGTTGAGTTCTGAGGATTACCTGGGAAAGAATCCCACTGGAGCATTGCAGCACACCAAAATACCTGGGAGTTACCCTGGACCATGCTCTGACTTACAAGAAGTACTGCTTAACTATCAAGCAAAAAGTGGGCGCTAGAAATAATATCATACGAAAGTTGACTGGCACAACCCGGGGATCACAACCAGATATAGTGAAGACATCTGCCCTTGCACTTTGCTATTCTGTTGCTGAATGTGGATATTTAGTATGGAATACATCTCACCATGTTAAAACAGTGGATGTGGCTCTTAATGAGACAGACCGCATTATCACAGAATGTCTACACCCAACACCGCTGGAGAAATTATACTGTTAAGCCGGTATGGCACCACCTGATATCTGTCAGGAAGTAGCAGCCAGTAATGAAAGGACCACGGCATTGACCTCTCCGTCCCATCCTCTGATCAGATATCAGCCAGCATGCCAAAAACTTAAATCAAGAAACAGTTTCCTAACATCTACAGAGATAATCTCAGGAACACTTCAGCAAGTGAGAGTCCAAAAGTAGCAGGCTAAAACCTGGAACCTCAGTCAGTGGCTGAGACCGGATGGAGAAACTCCCTCCTGGGAACACAGACGACTGGGCGACTTGGAAGGTGATGAACAGATGCAGAACCAATCTTAAGAAACTGGGGCTACAAAGTGAAGTCCACGATATGCGGGTATGGAGAAGAGCAAACCACAGACCACTTACTACAATGCAATCTGAGCCCTGCCACATGCACAATGGAGAACCTTCTTATAACGCCAGAGGCCCTTGAAGTGGCCAGTTTCTGGTCAAAGGAAATTTAGCATAGTTTTAAACTGTGGTTTTTAATACATTGTAACTGTATTCTCGATTTGCTTCTGACACAATAAATACATAAAAACAAGAAGAATTAAAAATAGAATACCACCAACAGTGGTTCAGACACAAACAACCAAAGGGGGGAAAAGTTACCTGTGTTTTAATATCTGTTATGATTTTTGAAATTTTATTTATTTTTTTTAAAGGATGGAGATCCAGAGGTGGGAATTTTAAGTTATATATTTTCGAAAACTTAATAAACATATTGGAAAAATCACAGAAGATATATAGTAGGAAATGTATATTTTCCTAACCAATGTCACTATACAACCATTTTCTTTCTGTCTGTAAGTACTAATTTTGACTTATCAGCCAATATTTTATTCAACAGACAATAAAAGGTAATTTTAGAAATAACTAAAAGGTTATGTGAAAGTTAGTCAAATATGCTGGTATCACTATTCACCAACAAACTATATGTAATTCCTGCTCCTCGCAGAACTGAATAGACCATTGCCTATCCAAGGGCAGGGTCTTTTTTTAGACTGGTAAGTAAAATGGAAATTATCAGACCTCAATTTTATCTGTTTTGGCATCTCCCCAATATATCTTGTGTTCGGCATAATCCAGCGCCAATCCGTTAGGCCATCCAAGTGAAGTATTCACCAGTACAACTCTGTCTGATCCATCTAATGTTGCCCTCTCAATCTTTGGAATCTCTCCCCAGTCAGTCCAATACATGTAACTAAAAGAGAAACGGAAAATCATTAATAAAAGGCTATTATCACAAAGAGCATACCATTAGCAGATTGTATCTTTTGTTTTGGGGGTTGTGGTGAGAAAACAATTTCCCTATTCACATAAACTGGTTCACATTTCTAAATAAGGATGCAGCTTACAGAACAACATCATAAGAAAATACAACAAAACCAGTTTATAAAATATTAAAGATCAATATGTTGTCACTGGGTTGCTGTAAGTTTTTTGGGCTGTATGGCCATGTTCCAGTAGCATTCTCTCCTGACGTTTTGCCTGTATCTATGACAGGCATCCTCGATGCAGGCAAAACGTCAAGAGAGACGGCTTCTGGAACATGGCCATACAGTTCAAAAAACTTACAGCAACTATTAAAATCATTTGGAAAATGATTCAAGAAATGCCTCAACTATTGGTGGGAGCACTCTACACTAGGCCCCTTCCAATCTCAGTTAGATATCACACCTCACGGTGAATATCACAAATACAAATGAACACAACAAGCACCTTCCCATCAAAACGTAAAGACTGATATGTCCTTTACTGGGAGAAAACAGTATTTTAGTCAACCTGACTAGCAGGCAATAAGAAATCTATGGCAATGTTGAAAGGCAGGTAAGAGGTATGACTTACCCAACCATAGGATCCAGAACTATAGCTCTTGGTTCTTCCAATTCTTCTGAGATTAAGATTTTCCTCATAGTCCCATTAAGCCTTGTAACTTCAATACGGTCTGTACCTGTATCAGTCCAATAAAGGTTTCGAGCAATCCAATCGACAGCAATGCCATCAGGATGTGCAATTTGTGCCTGGACAACAAACTGGCTAGCTGACCCATCAATGAAAGAGCGCCGGATAGCCCTGACCTCATCATCTGTCCAGTAGATGTATCCTTCTACAGGATCATAATCAATAGCAATGGCATGACGAATGTCTTCTAGTTGTAAAACAATATCCGTGAAATCAGGAGTATCTAAGGATATTCGCCGCAGGTCGGTCCTTCGAGCTAACAAGAGCAACTCCATGGCACCTTTACAAATTAAGAATTAAGAAATTTAAAAAAAAGATCAAGATAGTCTATCAGTTCTAACATTTCTAACAGCATTAAAGATGATCAATTAAACATTATAGGATTTATCTGCTTTCAGTTTCACAACATTATAAAGCAACAACCTTACAAGATCAACTGGACAGTCAGAAGGCAATCTGTTACTTCCCATTTTTATACCATTGAAATTCTATCTCTTTCAGATTTCTTTAACTATACATTTAAGATTTGAAAATACTTACAAGGAGCGATTGGGATTTAACTCCCATCTCCCAGAAATTATGCCTTTCCTTACAGGAAAACCCATGAAGGTTTTTACCAGGCATGACTGGTTGGCAAGTATATTCACAATAATTTATTAATAATGCAGCATTTAAAAGATCAATCCTATCAAAAATGTGTATCTTATTTTTAACTACTTGTCATATGTTTTACTGTTCCAAATTGGGGTTTCCAATTTGGAACAGTTTAAAAAGTTGCTAAAGGAACAGTAATAAAAAAGAATTTAAATCAAACAAAACACATATTAGATGTAATGTTTTCATGCTTCCATCTTCATAGAATCATAGAATCAAAGAGTTGGAAGAGACCTCATGGGCCATCCAGTCCAACCCCCTGCCAAGAAGCAGGAATATTGCATTCAAATCACCCCTGACAGATGGCCATCCAGCCTCTGTTTAAAAGCTTCCAAAGAAGGAGCCTCCACCACACTCCGGGGCAGAGAGTTCCACTGCTGAACGGCTCTCACATTCAGGAAGTTCTTCCTCATGTTCAGATGGAATCTCCTCTCTTGTAGTTTGAAGCCATTGTTCCGCGTCCTAGTCTCCAAGGAAGCAGAAAACAAGCTTGCTCCCTCCTCCCTATGACTTCCTCTCACATATTTATACATGGCTATCATATCTCCTCTCAGCCTTCTCTTCTTCAGGCTAAACATGCCCAGCTCCTTAAGCCGCTCCTCATAGGGCTTGTTCTCCAGACCCTTGATCATTTTAGTCGCCCTCCTCTGGACACATTCCATCTTGTCAATATCTCTCTTGAATTGTGGTGCCCAGAATTGGACACAATATTCCAGGTGTGGTCTAACCAAAGCAGAATAGAGGGGTAGCATTACTTCCCTAGATCTAGACACTATGCTCCTATTGATGCAGGCCAAAATCCTATTGGCCTTTTTTGCCGCCACATCACATTGTTGGCTTATGTTTAACTTGTTGTCCACGAGGACTCTAAGATCTTTTTCACACGTACTGCTCTCGAGCTAGGCATCCCCCATTCTGTATCTTTGCATTTCATTTTTTCTGCCTAAGTGGAGTATCTTGCATTTGTCACTGTTGAACTTCATTTTGTTAGTTTTGGCCCATCTCTCTAATCTGTCAAGATCGTTTTGAATTCTGCTCCTGTCCTCTGGAGTATTGGCTATCCCTCCCAATTTGGTGTCATCTCAAACTTGATGATCATTCCTTCTAGCCCTTCATCTAAGTCATTAATAAGAATGTTGAACAGGACCGGGCCCAGGACGGAACTGGGCCCAGTGACGGCACTCCGCTCGTCACTTCTTTCCAGGATGAAGAGGAAGCATTGGTGAGCATCCTCTGGGTTCGTCCATTTAACCAATTACAGATCCACCTCACCGTAGTTTTGCCTAGCCCACATTGGACTAGTTTCCTTGCCAGAAGGTCATGGGGGACCTTGTCGAAGGCCTTACTGAAATCCAGGTACGCTACATCCACGGCATTCCCCGCATCTACCCAGCTTGTAGCTCTATCGAAGAAAGAGATCAGATTAGTCTGGCATGACTTGTTTTTGATAAATCCATGTTGACTATTAGCGATGACTGCATTTTTTTCTAAGTGTTTGCAGACCGCTTCCTTAACAATCTTTTCCAGAATCTTGCCCGGTATCGACGTGAGGCTGACCGGACGGTAGTTGTTTGGGTCATCCTTTTTTCCCTTCTTGAAGATTGGGACCACATTGGCCCTCCTCCAATCTGCTGGAACTTCTCCCGTTCTCCAAGAACTCTCAAAGATGATTGCCAATGGTTCCGAAATGACTTCCGCTAGTTCCTTCAATACTCTGGGTGTAGTTGATCTGGCCCTGGGGACTTGAACTCATTAAGAGCGGCCAGGTATTCCTGGACGACTTCTTTCCCAATTTGGGTTGGATGTCCTCCAATCCCTCATCCACTCCATCTTGCTGAGGTTGAAGACTCTCTTTTTGTGAGAAGACCGAGGCAAAGAAGGCATTAAGTAGTTCTGCCTTTTCCCTATCCCCTGTCAGCATTGCCCCATCTTCTCCTCGAAGAGGTCCTATCGCCTCCTTGTTTTTCCTTTTTCTACTGACATAAGAATAGAAGCCCTTTTTATTGTTTTTAATGTCCCTGGCAAGTCTGAGCTCGTTTTTTGCTTTAGCCTTGCGGACCTTTTCCCTACAGGTGTTGGCTATTTGTTTGAATTCTTCTTTGGTGATTTCTCCCTTTTTCCACTTCTTGTGCATGTCTCTTTTGTGTCTTAGCACAGTTAGAAGTTCTTTGGACATCCATTCTGGCTTCTTTGCACTTGTCCTATTTTTTCTCTTTGTTGGCACGGTTTGCAATTGCGCCTTGAGTATTTCACTCTTGAGAAATTCCCATCCATCCGTAACTCCCTTGTCTTTTAGTATCTGTGTCCACGGAATGCTGCTCAGCGTTTCCTTCACTTCAGAATATTTCATGACGACCAATGTCTATATCAATATGATTTAATTGTATCTGATCAGAGTTGTCAGACACATCAAGATTTAAACAAGACATTTCTCAGACTATCATACCCTTCCAATGAACTCAACAAACAAACGGTTCAATAGGGCCTAGATAAGCAGAAACAAATGCCTTATTAAGCAACATACAGCCCTCCCTGGCTTATAACTGTATTTGTCTTAAAGTTTGGAAGCTTCCTTTGTGGGGGGAGCAGAATATAGCATCACCATCATTATCACCACCATTACAGGATGGCTTGGGGTGGTAGGCCTGTGCTTGCTTATAAACAGCTGCCAGCGTGAAAGGAATACTCAGCAGACACAACAGACATTGCAAACAAGTTACACATACAAGAAGCAGACCATGTTGTAGACCTAAATGTCATTTCTGTCCCCATGTTTACTCAAGTGATACTATTCCAGGATCTGTCGGTGGTTCTTTTTCCCATGTGGTTTCACATGGAAAAGACAGTCAGACAGGATTGTACTTTATCACCCTATTTGTTTAACTTCTATGCAAAGCTGAAATAGGTATAAGAACTAGAGGAAGGGATAACAACAATTTAAGACACCATGCTATTACAGAAAATAGCAAAGACTTGGATCTACTACCGAATAGCAAATACTTGGAACTACTACTGAAAAGTCGAAGAAGAAAATGCCATGGCAGATTTATAGTTGAGCATTAACAAAATAAAAATAGAAACCCATCTGAGACGAGACCATAAAAAAACTTAAATTTGGAGGGGGGGGGGCTTTGCATTCAAGACAAATTTTAATGTTAGATTTTGTCCTTCCAAAGTTCATTTTTGTATTACAAATTACTCACTTGTCCTCAAATCAAAACATTTAAAATTGGAAAAGGTGAACTGAAAATTTCATTGACAATCAAAAAGGACTCAGATTTATCAAATTGTCATTAACTGACCTGACTATTCCTCAGCTCATATTGCAACCACTGAAAAATATGAAAATGTAGAAGAACCACTAGTGTTCACTCTTGGCTTGAAAAAGAAAGCATCCTAGTGTGATTCTGAAACAATTACAATTCCTGTAAGCAGGAAATGGAAAAGCCTCATTGCTGCCACCTAATTAAAAATTTAACTAACAAGCCCTACATCCAACATGAAGCAACTTTTGAAGAAACACATTGCTCAAGAAATGCCAAAATGTGGAGACTTCCTACAACGATGGTGGATTAAAAGGAACTACATTTCAGCAAGAATGCATGGTTTATATGTGTTTTGGAGAGGGGTTGTGGCTGCTGCCAAAAATCAGCTTTAGAAGCTTACAAAGACCTCTGTGCAGGCACAAAATGACTCGTGTGTGTGAGTCACATAGATCACGAAGAAAAACACAGGAATTTGTGCTAGCAATATGTTGTGCTTTACTGTTGACAACCTTTCTGGGTGTCATCTATATACATTTATAATCAAGCTAAATAACAACAGACGAGCAAATGAATATGGGAAACTATAAGATTTGCCTTCTTTTACACCTCCCATAGAGCACTGTTATCTCATTGGGAGTTCAGTAGGAAAAAGCAAAGTTAAGATACTAAGAGTGTGTACCTGTACAGAGAGTATCTAGCATTTTAACTCTGTTCTGTTGTAAACTAACTTTGGAGTCCCCTTTCCCCACAACACATTCTAAAGCATGTAACTTTCATCTAAGGACACAAAATCCTCGCATGCACTAAAGTAGTCATCCTCACAGGCTGGACTTCACTTCAAGCATATTGTCAAACAAAGCATATACTTATGCCAGCAGTTCTCTTTGCTAGTGATAATTTTTCTCTCTCCTGAAAACAACTTAAAACCATAACCTACCATCTTTGCAGGTCTTTTCATCCTCAAGGAGTTTTACACCCGTGGGACATGCACACTGGTAAGAAGGTTTCACAGGAGACATCAAACACAAATGGGAGCAACCACCATTATTGGTTCCGCACGGATTTGTAGCTGTCAAATGGAGACACCACACAAATTAGCAGTGGGAGAATGAAGCAATTTAAATCTCATGCGAAGGGACCAAATGAATAGGATACCTTACCTTTATATACCGCATTAAGATGCAATATTTTCCCTACACAATCCTCTAAGAATTATATAAATTTCAGAAGTTATAAAGTTGATGGATCCGTTAGTTTGACTAATACTTTGTACCTCCACAATGCAATTTGTAAAAACAAAAGAAAACAAGCTGCTATTCGTGATCATTGCTAATTGCATGGAGGACTTTTCTTTGTAATAACCAAAAGTATATATGATGGAAGAGAAAAGTAATATAGTGTTGCCTGTAAGATTTTTACAAGTCTTAATTTTTTTGTTGGAGAACTTGATTTGTTGATTCAATTTCTCCAATATCCCTTTCTTGGACAAAAGTGACTTCCTCACTTCAGGGGCTCCTGGGCGAAATGGATTATTTAGGTCTGGCTATAGAGAGGGTGCAGCTTTGCTTGTCTTAGTAAATGATATCTGGACTGAAGAGAACAGGCACATTAGTTCTGCTGACCATCAATTATGATATCTAGGCCACCTCTCTAGGATGGGAGCACCTTATGAAGTCATAAGATAATGCTAAGGGATGCCTATTTGATTCCCAGATTGTTATTCTGTGGGATCCCTCAAGGCTCAGTGCTGTCCCTCATGCTGCTTGGCATAAACATGAAAATGCTGGGAGAAGTTACCGAAAATTTTGGAGTTCAGTATCATCAATATGATGATGAAACCCAATTCTATCTTCTCTTTTGAAATAATCTGAAGTAAGCCATTCTGCAACTAAACCAATTCCTGCCATCCGCAATAAAATGGATGACAGTGAATGAACCGAACCTTTATACGGATAAAACAGAGATACTCTAGATCATGACAAAAGCAGATCAGGGAATCAGCTTGTGCTGGAAGATATTATAAACACACACACCTCCTTGAAATCTCAGATTTCTAGATTTCTACTTCCGGACTCAGCCCTAAGCCTGACTATCCAGGATTCATTACTGCAATTTCACAGTTATGATGAATACTTCAGCTCTGTCCATATCTAGAGATGTCAAACCTGGACATGATGGCATATGCCCTGATGACATTTATACTAATATGGGTCTGTCTTTGGACACTAATAAGTTTAGCATCTTCAGAGGCCCAGAAGCTGAAGAGGAAGCAGGAGATGAGTTGTGCTGGGGGAAACCCTAAACTTTTACAGTGTGCTAGAGAGCTAAGCGTTTGTTTACAGGCTTGGTGCCTGTTTGTAAGGCAGTGTGTTGTTTTTTATGGGATTGGGGTTATTTTTATGGCTAGTGTACTGATACCTCTGATTGAGGCCTAGTGTTTCAACATCAATAATCTCTGAATACAGTAAAAGAGGAGAAAAGTGAGATGTTTTGAAGAGAGAGGAGGGAATAATGGGAAAAATCCTGCTTTTAACCTAAATCACTCAATTATGGAGCAGAAAGAAGAATCTGCAGTCACCTGCCAGACCTGTGGAATGTTTGTCTTTTTGCCTTGACACCTGGCAAGTTATATCTGCAGCAAATGCAAATGAGCTGCATTGCTGGAAGAGAAGATCTAGCAACTGGAGGCCCAAATCTCTACATTTCAGGACCTCAGGGAACTTGGGTTTTACTTGGACACAGCCCAGGAGACCCTCCTAGATGTACAGTACACATCGAATGAACCTACAGAGAATGGCTATGAGGAAGTCACTTCAAATGTGGAGGTCGATGCTTGGAGGAATGTAACATATAGAACAGGGATCCACAAACTTTTTAAACAGAGGGCCAGGTCACAGTCCCCCAAACTGTTGGAAGTCTGGATTATAATTTGAAAAAAGCATGAATGAATTCCTATGTACACGGCACATATCTTATTTGTAGTGCAAAAAACAACTAAAAACAATACAATAATTAAAATGAAGTACAATTTTTAACAAGTATAAACTTATTAATATTTCAATGGGAAGTGTGGGCCTGCTTTTGGCTGATGAGATAGGATTGTTGTTGTTGTTACTGTGTGTTTTCAAGTCATTTCAGACTTAAGATGACCCTGAGCGAGGGCCGGGTAAATGACCTTGGAGGGCCGTATCCGGCCCCTGGGCCATAGTTTGAGGACCCCTGACATAGGAGAAGGACAAAGCATCTTTCTTGGAATCTGGAATTAGAGTATCACTTTGAAGTTGCCTACCCTGTCAGAGATTATGAGGAATTAGAACTTGTTGGTGAGGATTAGCCAGCAAAAAACCACATTCTGTACCATGCCAATAACTTGGAAAATTCAATGTCTTATAAAAAAAATTAAATGCTATATTTATCTAGTGCAAGAAGCAACAACTAGAAATATAAAATAGGTAAAACTATACAAAGTGCTGAAAAGGCAGTTCAAAAATTATGCTAAGCAATACTACTCTATTACACATAGTCTAAAAACCATCATTTAGAACTCTAATCACAGGGAAACAATGATTTTAACTAATTATTTGCTTTTGTTTTAAAACCCCACTATTATTTTATTTTGTTAGCCAATTACACATTCAGTAAAAAATTCACACTCATGGCTTGGAATGATGTCTGCAGAAAGCCACTTTCTCTTGGGATATATTTCTTCAAACTAGTTCCAAACACAATGAGAAAAGGCAAAGGAGACTCACCATTGGGTTGCCTCTGTTGATTAAAAACATGAATATCCATGGGAGAAAAGATGTTTGAATGTATTTCACGCAGGTTCTCTCCTGTGTATTTGTTACAAGCCAAGACAGAGCGAGTGGTCCAGTCAGTCCAGTACAGTGTATCTCCAAATAAGGTCAGAGCAAACGGATGTGGAAGAGATCCTTTAATAACAGCTTCTCTAGAAATACAAAGGAAATAAAACTGTCTGTATATGCGTCTCATCTACAAGCCAAGTCTCAAGGAAAGAAAGGCTAATTCAACTCTTGTCAAACATCTTTTTAAAAATTCAGGACTGAACTGCTAAGCTAACTTCACACCATATTTTTTCCATGGAAGGGATTCTGACTTTTGCCTGAAAGTCTATAACAACAAGCATGTTTCTTCACAAGTTTAATCATTTAAAAATACGACACACAATTTTATTTGAGTTTTGCTATTTAATGCTTGAACTAACTCACATTATGTATTCAGGATATAATCAGGATTTACTTCAAAATCAAACATTAAAAAGTAAACATCAGCTCTAGTTTCTGATACAGAACTTATGCCATCCAGCAGTCACCGTCTGCTCACCCACAGAAAACCATATTTAATAATCTACAGCTGATGTGGTAGTAATTTTGTGGATAGTCAGTCTCTCCTCTCCCAATATCCCCGTTGCCTCAGCACTATAAGGTTTCATGAGACCAGTCGCTCTCATTGCTGCATGGTTTTGAGGCAATAGTGTAGTAATGGTAAGGCCGCAGACTAAATCTTTATTCTTGCGGACCACTGGTGGTCCATGGATCAGACTGGGAACACTGGTTTAGATGAAAGGCCACCCTGAAGAGTATCCAAAATACATAGGTCTGCTGTCATCATAAAGAGGACATTCAGTGGAACATTTTTTTTCTTTCGATCATTAATCAACTGTCAGTATATGGAGTGTAAGGGCATTTTCATACGGCTAGATTGTTCCTCTACTTCAATCCAGATTAAACACATTTTAAAAACCACCTAAAACTGTTTCTTAGGTGCTTCTATAATCATCCTACATTTAGTACACATTATCATAGTTTAAGAGGCACCCATTGCCCAAAACATTCTAGATGACATACAAATATAGTAGCAACATTTAAACATATGAAAAATGAAAAGAATAATTTAACCATCTCAGTACGGACTATTATTTTAGCCTACATATTCAATTGTTTGCCAAAGGCCTACATATTTTTTCAGAGTGCAATTTTATGCATGTCTACTTCCAACTAATTTCCCATGAAAACATAAATAGGTAGTCTTAATTCGGGAGAAAGATAGAAAGACTGGTGATAGCTACGGCAAACCTTTTTCATCACACTTAAAGGAGGAGGAAATATAGCATGATACACCCCTGGCCTTCACCTTGCATTTCTTGAGAAACTGTCCATTACCATGCGTGTGTACATTCACATACACACAAATATTTTTGAGACAAAGTAAAGATTTCAAACACACTTGAGAAAAAAGTAAGATCACTACTAAAGTGCTTCAATCAAATACAGGTTGTAGAGAAGCCTCTGAAAAACAACTTTTTGAAGATTAAAGAAGTCACATTACTGAATAAAACAGTTTAAAAAATTCCCTTTAGGATTCTTAGCAAATAGCTATTTTGATTTTCTCTGCAGGTAAAAACAAAAGTATTTTTTAAACTCATGTGATACCAGTTATTAGGTATAATTTCCTTATGATCCACATGCATTATTTAAAAATAAATTAAAGTAAATATGACAATAAATATGACAGTAAATGACAATTAAATCTCTTACCGATGGGTTCCATCTAGATTTGATCTGTGAATAAAGTTCAGTTTGGCATCTGCCCAATACAGCTTCTGATCTTCATAATCTAAGGTTAATCCATTTGGCCAATAAATGTCTGCAGTGATTATAATTGAGCGGGCTGACCCATCCATCCCAGCACGCTCTATCTTTGGCACTTCTCCCCAATCTGTCCAGTACATGAACCTAGGATTTGAAAGAGAAGAGGGGAAAATATGGATTATTAATGTCATCATCAGGTGTTTTTAATGAATGCAAATAGCTATGAGAATTTTAGTTTATTTTTGTTCATGAGATAGCTTAATTAAAAAGGTTGTGAAAGATTCTAATTCAGGTAATAAAAACAGATTAGAAGGAGGTAGCCTTTTCATATTCTCCTGCATTTTACATCAAGACCCAATGATCTGTCCCAAGAAGATGAATCTAGAAAACTTGAGAGAGATGACTTTAAAATCTTGATGAGGCTTTGATGGGAAGGTTAAGGAGAGAATGGTGCTGTTAACAGGACAGTGGTGGAGCCACAGAAAGGTTGAGATTAGAAGACTGAGCTAGTTAAGCAGTAGTTACAAATGCACAAATAATGAAACCAATTAAAGTGAAACCCACAGGTATGTATATATTTATGACATTTTGTGTGCCATATAATGCACATCCTCTCAAGCAATCACATGACAAACAAACCAAAACAATGTCTCTCTGGAATATTTTTTAAATTCACCTCCTAGTTTTAGTCATTCTTCATGATTTTATACAAGACTAGCTCCTCTTTGATTGTGGGTGAAGTACAACTCTGAACATTGTAGATCAATGTCAGCACAGTGTTCAACAATGAAAAATCATGTAGGTGTAAGAGTTTGTAAGCATTAGAAGTGTGAACCATCATAAGATGGAACTTGGAAGGTGTAAACTTCAACAAATGAAGTGCGGCAACACGACATAATGTTATCTGTGAATTATTATTTCCCTTGTCAGAGTAATGAAGTGCATTGATTGCACCAGTCAGATCATAGTGAGAGACAAATGTATGGGGGTTTTCCCAGGTGGCTGCCTTATAGATAGAGTACAATGGCACCCCTGTAGGAATGCTGAAGAAACCGACAGCATCCTAGGTAGAGTGGGGGCAGATGTGTTTTGGGGGGTTCTTTTTGTTTTTGATGTAATATTTTTTATTAATTTTCTGAAAGAAAGAAAACGCATACAACACCATAAGACACAAAGAAAAGACACAAACCAAGCAAATATAACATAATCCAATTAAACCATAAATATAAAGACTCTACTTCCTTCCCTTCCTTTGAGGTAAAAATTCTTCCTAAGAATTTTTACGTTCCATTTGGTAAAAGAGAAACTTAAATACCCAATGCTTATTTTATTTATTTTAAAAATACTCAAGAGAGCAAAATGAATCTCCAGGAGGTGGTGGTTTTTTCCACCAGAAGAAGAGATGATGACAGAAGCAACCCAGAGGCAAAGGAAAAGGAAAAAATGGTGTAGCAAAGTTTCTCCCTCACAAACCAATGGTGCAGAGTTTGCTACTAGATGAGGAGATGGTAGAGACAAAGAGAAAGATGGAGCGACAGAGGCAAAAACTGGGGCCCTTCTTCTTTACTGCTGCCTTCTCCCTCTTAAATGTTAAATTTTAACAAAACCTGGAGCCCAAGATTCTAACCTCCCTGGATAAAGGTCAGTTACCCCCACTCCCAACTACTCCAACTTGACTCCAACAACCTCTCCAGGCGACATTTCCAACTGAGACCAGCCCTTCCAGCATTGTGACTGGATCTTACAGTTGTGTCTCCTTTGTCACAGGTTAGTTTGGTAACTTCAGTGTATACTGAAAAGAGAAGCATAGAGGTAAAACACTTGGAGGAGGGGATGGTGGGTTCCAATTGCTACTCTGCTATAGCACTACATGTGATTCCACCTCTCCAAGGCTAAGATCCAGAGCCTTGCGGGCTGCACCATATCCTTGTGAGGGTTGCACCTGGCCCCTGGGCTGCATGTTGTGCAGGCCTGTGTTATCACTTTGATTCTTTTAAGAGCTGGTAGTGGAGATGAGGTTCAAGAAACTATGCCTTTCTAAGGGGCTCTTAATCAGCGTATACTGACCTTTTGTTTTTTCAATTTTGAACATGTCCTAGTTCACAGTTCATTTTAAACCAGTCTGTACTTCTTGAACTCTCAATATAAGTATTAGTAAGCTTAATTTTTTTAAAAAACATTTAAAATGTACTTCAAGGCATTAAGCAACAGTGAATGCAAGTCACACCTATTATCATACAAGCAATTAGACACCTGTAGTTCTGACCCTGAATTGGATCTGTAAGATGGCACACAAACTAGTAATCATGACTCCAAACAATTGTTTCATCATTGTGTTTTTAATTATCAAGACACATCTGTTTTGGTTTCTGGTGCCCTGGAGAAAATAAGCAATTAAAAATATTCAGAGGAAATAAAATACGTCCTCTGAAATTTTCAATCAAATAATGCACTTCCGTGAGTTAAATCCAACTTAGGCTTACCTAGAGTAAACTCACTGAATAAATGATACACAGGTTTATTGCGAATAATAGATCTTCTTCATTTCATGGAACTATTCCAAGTGGCATTAGCATTAGATTTCTTTCCCAGCATTGAATCATTATTGAAAACACACCTTGTTTTCCTTCAGTCTATTTACGAGGAAATTGGAATGACCATCATTGCCCACTATGTACACTTGGGGGAATGTTTGTAGGTTTTATATTCATGTAAGCATCATGAGTTCCACACTTACACCAGCACCTGTAAAACTCTACGTTTGTAGAAGCTTTCTATAAATGATGAGATGTTGTCATTATCTGTAAAATGCTAATCTAAAACAGTGAAACATCTTCAGAAAACTTCATCTGGCGTAACTTCAGTATGACAGCACAGTCATTCTCAGCCATTCTACTGAAGCATATAATAAATGGTTAATATCAGGAAAAACCCTCAGACATTTCAGCAGACCCTACCCTCAATACTGTAACAAATTCATATCCTCTCAAAAATGAGAGGTGTAGGCTGAAAATACTTTACGTTTGGCTGAAAATACTTTAAAATATGCCTATGCCCATGAACCCTGGGGATGCAAATCGTTGTGATTTACTGGGTTGTAGGGTTTTTTGGGCTATATGGCCATGTTCTAGAGGCATTTTCTCCTGATGTTTCGCCTGCATCTATGGCAAGCATCCTCACTACCTCTGAGAATGCTTGCCATAGATGCAGGCGAAACATCAGGAGAGAATGCCTCTAGAACATGGCCATATAGCCCAAAAAAACCTACAACCACCCAGTGATTCCGGCCATGAAAGCCTTCAATAATACATTGTGATTTAACCTCACTCATCATGCTGAGCTTTTAATTTTTTTTCAAGAAGGCCATTCAGAAACTATATGGCCAAAACTCATTTTTTTTCTATTTTACAAGGATTATTTCACAATTAAAAGATGAGAACATGTTCCAAAACACTAGTCTAAAACACTAATTCAGAGTACATTCCAAGATGCCAACATGAATGCTATTATATCATGCAATACTTTATTAGAAACTGATGAGCAATAAGGGCATCCTCTATTTAAACAGATATCCAGTATTTTGGCTCACAAGACTGGAGTGGCTAGAAAAATGCAAAGCAAGCATAAACACAGTAGGTATGTAAGAAGTCAGGCTTCTGTAACAACCCTATTCTCTCAGAAAATCCTATTTTCTCAGAGCACTATGCTGGTTATGCTATGTAGCTCAGCTAATTCTAATATGAACCAGTTTTAGAGGGACTCACACACACAATGAGAAATCACATTGCTTAGAAACTGGAGTTGCAAGGAGGTCAAGAAAGGATGGAGCCCTCCAAATTCTGATGGGAACAAAAATGACTTCTAAACCCTTAGGGGCTGTCCATCCATTGTCTAAACCAGAGCTTTCCAAACTGTGTGTTGCAACATGTCAGTTTTTTGGTTGCAGTGTGCGGGTGTGTTGCATGAATGTTAACAAGAAACTTCTGAGTCTATGTGAAACAAGCAATAACTCATATATTTTAAATATATATACACTAAGTTTTTCATGAAATATGTTGAGTGCCCATACATTGTGTTATTACAATTTATGTATGTGTGTCACTTATAAATGGAGTGTTTAATCTTTGGTTTGCTTGTAAAACTTAATTGATGTGTTGCGAAATAATGTATATCTAAAAAGTGTGTCACCAACATGAAATGTCTGGAAAGCTCTGGTCTAAACAAAATACCAATCTTCACTGCGCAGTGGGATTACTGTGTCATCTAGCAGGAGGCAGCTCCCTTTTTGTTTATTCCCTCCCAACAAGTCAAAGTCAGAAGCAAATAACAAGCCTTAGATCAGTGGTTCTCAACCTGTGGATCCCCAGGTGTTTTGGCCTACAACTCCCAGAAATCCCAGCCAGTTTACCAGCTGTTAGGATTTCTGGGAGTTGAAGGCCAAAAACATCTGGGGACCCCAGGTTGAGAACCACTGCCTTAGATTTTGTCTCTGGCTAGGTGGGGGAAATATACAGGGTGAGGCAGCATAACTTCCTTTTTTAAAATGTGTGCCATTCAGTCGCTTGAAGACGTAGCGGAGCGCTAGTGGTCTCGTTCAAGAGGCGGGAGTATAAAGTTTTGTCCTGACACAGTTCAGTCGCCATCATGCGTTGGAACAGTGAGGAGCGTGCTTTTGCCGTTGAGGCCTACTTTTCGAGCGGATTTGGAGTGGCCGGCCCGCTCTCCAGATTTGGCCCCTTGTGATTTTTTTCTATGGGGTTTTTTGAAATCCCGTGTTTATGTGAACTGTCCAAGGACCCTACAAGATTTGAAGATCAACATCCAGGAAGAAATTGCCAATGTAACAGCTGCTATGCTGGCAAGAGTCATGACAAACGCCAGAAATCAGTTTACTCAGTGTATGGAGAATGGGTGACGTCACCTGCCTAATTTGATTTTCAAAACTACATAAAACAAAACTTTAGGTATGTGCCTACATTATTTAAAAAAAATAAAAATTTCTGATTCACACAATGGGTTTTATTAAGTTTTGAAAAAAGGAAGTTATGCTGCCTCATCCTGTACAATAACATCATATCTATATTTCACAGCCAAATGTACCATCAACAATAGTGAAATGCTTGTCAATATAACATGTGGCTTTC